ATCATGTTTGAACTCATTGCGGTGCACTCTGGGAAAGTATATTGTTTAACAGTTTCATATTTGTAGTTTGCCAGACAGCACTTGTAAGAGTGAAGAAAAGGCGAAGTTTCTCAGCGGTGAATTAGAAAGCAGGAACATTGTTTTCCTTGTCTTACCAATTCAGACAGCATGTCAGAAAACTGCAGAAATAAAGACTTGTGTTTCACTACAAGTGCGGCTGTTGTTCCCCCTCTTTTTTCAAGAGGAATTACACTTCAAGCCCATCGCTTTACTGCTTCACTTTCCTCCCCGAGAACTGTTTTTCCCAACATCCATGTCAGTTAGTGGCATGTTAAACAAATCAAACCTAAAGACAGAGCTGCCTCGTGATTCTGTTTTGTTAAAGAGAAAACTATGATAAACATGAACAAGAACAACAGCAACAACAGCGCTAGCAGCATAACATATTCCAGGCAACGTGGCAACCGATGTTCTCCACTCCAGCACATCAGAGGCGTCCCCGCTTCAGTCGCCCTAAAGGTACCCGTTTACAAAGTGATAGGGCTTAGGGTTTTTAACTCGGGGCGAGAAGCTGATTTGAAACCCCCTCTGCTGCCAAGCACATGGACGGCTGCTGATTAGAGGAGGGTTGGCAGCAGTGGGCAGATGCCAGGCGGGGAGAGAGATGACGGCCTGTCGCCAGTCTGCCACCCAACCCCGCGTCCCCACAGTTGCACCCTCCCTTACTGACCCCTCCCCCGTTGTACAAAGACCAAAGACATTTCCGTAACATATCCAAAAAAGGGGGATGGGGTGATTTTAGTGACACTTGGTATTAAAATCTGGCAAATATGACATCATTGTAGCGGACAGTAAACAAATACTCTGTAACTTTCAGTGTTTTTTAAAGGATGCTTAGAGTTCAGGGGTTTTGTTTTGATCACACCAAGTGGACAATGAGTTTTCCTGGCTAACTTGCTGGCACAATGAAACATCACAATAGAGTTCTTCTTCTCTCTCTGCATGCCCACGCACATACATGAGCACACAAACACACATGCACTCGACTTAGTGCAAGTTTTGGATTCTTAACTTTCCCTTAGCCCACAGGGGATAAAACAATACCAGCTTTTTGAATGTCTTGTTCCTCACATCTTGTCCTGTCCTTTTTGGGTGTTTCAGAGTAAGTATTCACATAGAAAGAAAAGAAAATAGAGATAAAATTAGAACTGTATCAACACCTCGCTGGATGTAACCCTACAGAAAGAGCCTAAAGACAAATTAGAAGACAATAAAAGTAAGCTTTTAAGGTGGGAAAACCTCTATGCACTGTTCTAATGAGTCTCAATGACGTTACAGTGAACAATAGCCCGGCTTACACTTTAATCATACTGCTTTATTCCAGGCCATATTGATTCATTCCAGGTCGATATGACTACATAACTACTCCATTTTTCTGCTACACCCCAGCACCTACAGCCATGCATATTTAAGAGTGACAGACTGACACACATACATTCACACAATCACCTGTCTCCAACAATGCACCCATCTAGTTAACACATCAACCTTAATGCTGCATTTTAATGCAATTCAATGAGTGTGAAGTTGGGAACATGCAAAGGGTGAGCAGCAGCTGCACTGCAGAGGTTCAAAAGCCTCTGAAAAATCAGAAATCAATATTTATTTAGTCACGTGTAATAAACAAAGGGCATGACATTAAAGCTTTATCCTTTAGCAAGTCTATTCTACTCCGGGCCATTTACCTCACCAAAAATGGTTAGCTGTTAGCAATCATCAGAAAATATAATACAAGCAGCTATGCCAGGCTTACATTATTCAATGGTGAATTCTGTTGGGAGAGAATAAATGAAAAATCAATGGGTGTTTCCTTCATTCATGAAGGATGACATTTTTCATAAAACCAGCGCATCTGCTGTGGAGTTAACCAGGGTGAGGAAGGAATATCCATATCAAGTTCTGTCACTTCAGATATCATGCAGAAGTACCTGGAATATAATGTATTTCAATCCCAAGTGTCTGTGTTTTTCCTTTTTTCAAAGAGTTAAAAACTAATAATTCATCATTGTGAGTTAAAAAGTCGTTAAAGTTTAATACGTCAACTAGTCAGTGCAGTTATGTTTGCAGGGAACAAAAGAATCTTCTTAAAACCATGATTTTTATAGAGCTACATATATAAAAAACTGGACATACAGAATGAATTTGAATTTTTGATGTTTATCTATTAAAATCTTATTGATCACTTGTATGTTTCTTATGTAACGTGTATCACATCATTACTGAATTTAACATTTCTATGACACAAATTTGAGAAGTCATAACACAGAATTCATACTGCTGATAAGGTCATGTGAGACGGGGTATCTGTATATCGGCCTTGACATCTTTTTTTTTTCCTTGTCTCCCTCTCTGACCGTCTGACCTGATGCTCTTCTGTCTCGCTTCATCTGCCTGTCTCTCTACTCTCCATACTGTCTTTATCTGTCTGTCTCTCTGCCTGCCTGCCTGTCTCTCTGTCAATCTCCTCACTCCCATCTCCTATATCTCCATCAGGCTGGGACTAAAATATCTTAGGAGCCCCTGCCTGTCTGAAACGGAGACCTGCAGTGTAGTACTGCAGGGCTGAACACACACATACAGGCACAATTTGCACACAAATTACACAAAATAATACACATTGACAAAACTACAGGTGCTCTCTAACGATGCGTATGTGCACTCAAAAAATTTACATCCTCACTCATCTTCACTGGCACACACGCAAACAAACAAACAAACAAAAAAATCATCCACTCCTTCATACTCATACACTTTCACAGTTATGGTACAGTACTGCTACTTAGCCTTTGGTCTGTGTCTAGAGGAGACAGTGCCCCCTGGTGTGGGCCAAACAGAACTCCCAGTCAGACATATCTTGACCCAATCTATATTGAGAGGACAATTTGCTCTTCTGGGATTGATTAGCTCTGCCTGTGAGAAAGTACCTACTTCTTCTTAAATATTCAAATGACTTCCTGGTAGCAGACACACATCATATTTAAATCATCTTTCAGTCAGTGCTTCATATTTTTCAAAATGTATGAGACTTTTTGAAGCTGCAAATAAGTGCGAACTTGGAGCAGATAACTAAAGAAGTGATTTTACTATATAGAGGTGATTTCACTACTAAATATAAACAGTTTAAGCTTCAAATAAAAAAAGGCCCTCACTCATTGCTGTTAAAAAGATGTAAACACCATATTAATTTAATTTTACAGTCATAATTAAGTGCTTTTACATGAATGATGGGTCTTTTTATTTTTAGATGTGTTCATATGTGACAAAAATATATCAGGTCAAACAGCAGTCAGATAAATTATTATTATTTTTTTATTACACTACAATATATTTCAAAATTACTCTATTTAATTTGCATTTTTCCTAATATTATAGCACTTATATGTTATATAGTATGTTGTGATTGTTAAATGTCATTTAATTGTTGCAGCGTGGTCATGTCCTCTCTTAAAAATATCCTAAATTGCAAAGATAACCTCATCATGAATGTAATTATGGGGTACTTTTAATTAACAAAACAGAACTGTATGCTTTATGTCCATTTTGATACATGCATGTATTTCGGTGTTATAAATAAATTAGTCATTCCTGCAAACAGGCCAGCTGTACTGCACCTATTTAAATAGTACTGTTGCTGTTTACATCACTGGCAGACCACTCTGCAGTGCAGGAACAAGCACCTGATGGATGAATACATTGATTCGGGTGAATACTGATGAGGAGGACTGCTAGGCCACTCTTCTGCCCAACAGTTGCCACCTTGACTGCCCGTTCCAAAAAAACGCTGTCACAGTTTCAGGTTTCCAGCATGCTGCGCTGTATCGCTTGTCTCCAACAGAGGTCATAATGCCTGTAATCACAATAATAAAGGACAAGGCTGTGCCCTGGTTAGCAGGGAGAGACATCCAAACGCGCACGCAGAGATACACAACAGTGCAGACAGGTGAATACCCAAACACAGTGGAGAAGTGCAACAGCAAGAACTGTCAAACTCACGTATTGCACTGGCGCGCACGCACACAGTGCCACACGCAGTCAGACAGCGCTGGTGGTGGAGGAGAGATTGTCTCTCATAAAGCAACAATAACAAACCAACAGCAGCTTTATTATTGCTAATGAACGTCATTGTTATAATAAGGGATGTGCGTATTTGAGACGCACTAAGTGGCGGAAATTAAGGAGCCGGGTACTCCTCCCGGAGGCCAGCGCGCGCACTGTCTGAGCAGCGCGTGCACACTTATCGCCGCTTGCATACATTCAAGGCTGTGTCCGCTTGTGATAGCTGGACTGACGAAACAACCAGCTGCCAACGGAGAGCACTGGCCATTTTATACTCTCTCTCTCTCTCTCTCTCTCTCTCTCTCTCTCTCTCTCTCTCTCTCTCTCTCTCTCTCTTTTGAACAGTTTACTGGAGAGCACGTAAGTTTTGATCAGACATGCAGAAGCTTTGGGCCACGGAGAACCGGGCACCAAAAATCCTAATAAACCAAATAAAATAATACACAAAAGAAAATAAGTGAAATATCAGCTCGTTCCGTAACTCGTCAAATCAAAGTGTTTTGTATTGTCCAACAAAAACAAACAAACAAACAAATAGAAAAGCATTGACTCAGTGAAACCTTAATAACTAAACTGGGAAAGATTTTTTTTTTTATGTGAGTCAAAGTTTTAATGCATCCCCACCGTCTGCCTAGTGTTCTTGGATCAAATAGGCTACTGGATAAGGACGAAACGATGTGCGCGAATCAGTTTATGTTACCATTTTATTACTGCCCCTCAATTTCTTCCTTAAATTGATTCAGGAAATGTGTTTTATAACCCAAAACTAAACTCGACAACTCTTGGACGGAGACTACTTTTTGCAGTGTGGAGTCTTGGTTTTGTTCCTCGGCTCCATGTCTGTGAGGCAGAAAGGGGGCGGGGATGGGATATTCAGATGAGCCGGAGTGACAGCTCCAGTTTCCCCCAACGCTCAGTGTGTCTGAAACTCCACTGGCTCCTTCCCTGCTAACTCCTCACTTCATAGTGCTGCGTACTAAAAACATCGGACGCTAGGGGATCAAGACGCATGCCACATTGCCTCTATGAGGGCACTTTAACTGATCTTTCGGGGTTTTTTCCCAGTAAGGGGGCTGTGGAGGGAGGACTTTTTTTATTCTCATTGTCTGATGACTGTTTGCACGGCCAGTTATTGAGTTGATTGTTTATTATTTTGGCTCTTGTTGCCCGACGCCCTGCGCGTTTTTTCCTCCCTTTTTGGAATCGGCGACCTATCGCGCGCTCACCAATGTCCTATCCTCAGGGTTACCTTTACCAGCCCCCGGGCTCTCTGGCGCTTTATTCGTGTCCGGCTTACGGGGCCTCGGCGCTGGCTGCCCCGCGGAACGAAGACTTGGCGAGGTCGTCCTCTGGCTCAGCCTTCAGTCCTTACCCCGGATCGGCTGCTTTCTCTGCCTCGGCCAGTGCGGGATTCTCCAGTCCGCTGTCATACTCCACGGATCCGACAGCAGGATTCCCATCTTACATGGTAAAATATCCCATTTAATCGTGTAATATCGTATGTGGGGAAAGAATATGAAGTCAGTGAATGTGTCGACAAGTTTAAGTCGGGTAGTGCGCAAAACCTTCGGCTGTCCTTCTCTGGCATTTAGCGAGTTGAAGTCGCCGTAAGTTTACAGTGCTTTCAGTTTTATTTTTCAGTCGGTAACTTTGGAAACATTTTTGTAGATCGAGCGGATAATATGCAATCATATTTAGTGGCCTACTTATCGGGTTCTCGGTGCAAAATCCGTTACCCTTTTGGCTTAGATAGGATTTTTGAAGCATGAGCTGCAAATTGCAAAGGCTTGACCAACGCTTAACACTCACTGCGCAGCTAATAATGATACCAAGTTCGTTTTTTTTCCCACTCTCCAGCTTCCAGGGCTGTTAATTTGTGTCAGAGAAAATTCATACCGCACAAGCCATAAATCTTTCTTCTTTAGTCAAGTCATTAAAATCGCCGCGTACGGGGTGGCTTTATGACTTTATTGTGAGACGAATAAACGGAATTTTAACATGAAAAGCATGACTCGCAATGCTAATGTCACAGGGCACTTCAAGCGTTGGAGGAAAGGTGCATATCAAGTGATTTGCTAATGGGATTTGTAATGCTGCAAAGAGAAGATATGTTAACACATTGGGGCTCCCACAGCAAAACAAAAAAAAGCAGCCGGAGAGAGAAAATGACAGAGTTAATAGGTGATTAAAGAAAATTGAAATTTCCTTTTTATTATCTTTACAGCCATATTAACGGGAGCCCTGTTATTAGTTAATCCGATAATGATCTTAACCATTAGTTAACCATTAGTCCATGCCTTTCTGCGGCCTGCTTTTACGCACGGTGTGTTTAGGCTCCCAACGCAACTTATAATTTAAGTCTTTTTGAGACAACTTAATGAGTGGAGTTGACAAATGAATGAAAGATTTAAACTCTTTGAATTTAACACGTTTATATTTTTTTTATCAAAGCCTGCACGTCTCAAATTAACCAAGGATGATTGGATTTTATTTATACCATTTTTGTGTGAAAACTGCCAGTTGTGTTTAAAAAAAAACCCTCCGGTGGATTTTTAAAAGGAAACACTGTTTAATAATTTAGATTATTTTACTGGTTTGGTTTCATTTGAATGCATTTTTGAGTGCTCTAAAATATCTCCAGACTGCATGAAGGGTTTCTGTGAATTACTCACAAGCCACAGCACACCACTGACTTTTTATCTCAACTTTCTCTCAGAGCTCTCCATATGACGCGCACACGACTGGCATGGCCGGGGCATTGAGTTACCACCCATACGGAAGCCCGGGGTACCCCTACCAACTCAACGACCCGGCTTACCGCAAAAACGCCACCAGGGACGCCACGGCCACCCTGAAGGCTTGGCTGCAGGAGCACAGGAAAAACCCGTACCCGACCAAAGGCGAAAAGATCATGCTAGCAATCATCACCAAAATGACCCTGACACAGGTCTCCACATGGTTCGCCAACGCCAGGAGGAGGCTCAAGAAGGAGAACAAGATGACCTGGGCGCCCAGGAATAAGAGCGAGGACGAGGACGAGGAGGACGGGGATGGGGAGAGGAAGGAGGTGGAACGCTCCGAGAAAACGCTGGACAACAGCGAGGCTTCAGCGGAGGATGAAGGTGGGGTATAATCTGGCAACCGAGCCAATGATCCGTTTAACAATTCAGGGGAGGATGAGGGTGAGGAAGGGAGGGGGGGGATGCCCCTTTTTATTTACTGCTCAAGTTATTTAGTAACAGAATAATCACGGTTTAAAATTCAAATCATTTCAAATACTTCCAACATTAAATAATATGTTCTCATATATATATATTTTTAATCTCGACCAACACGTTGTTTGATCTATTAATCCAAGGCTAGATTATATTGATTTATCAGTGAATGTCAGTGTGAACATTTACTTTTCTCCTCATGATTAATGGCAGGTCAATGTCAAAGTGGACACAAATCAAAACTGTCCGCATGAATGAATTAAGAAATGCTAATATCGCTGTCAATATGGATTTTTCATACACTTATTCAACACAGGTTAACGGTAAATATAACGTAAAGAAGGATTTAAATCGTAGTTTACTATTTAGACTGGTGATTAATTAACACGTGACTTATCTAAGCCTGGCTGGTCTGTTTGGATACATATGGGCACTGAATAATTTCACTGTGCAATAAGGTAAAGGCAGTTTTATATATATGTAATGTTCTTTTTAATAAGATATTATTTTACAAAATACCGATAGTGATTTGCATTTTCATTCTTCATTTCCTGTGTGTGTCCTCTTTATTTTTATGCATCACTCATAACATGGTTGGATTTTTTCTCGTTTTTAACTCTAATCCTTATTTTCTTAATTTTTCCTCAGGTATCAGCTTGCACGTGGACACCCTCACGGACCACTCCTGCTCGGCAGAATCTGACGGGGAGAAGGTCAGCTGCCGCGTGGGCGGGGAGCTAAGCTCTGACCAGGCCGGCGACAAGTGCGACGAGGACGGCGACGAGCTCGACCCGCGCGCTCTGCAGGTCTCACCCAAACCCGTCACTTCGTCGCCTCTCACGGGAGTAGAAGCTCCGGTTCTAGGCCATCACCACCCACACAACCTCCACCACCACCACCACCACTTGCATCACCTTCACCAGCTCCACAGAGAGCGCGAGGATTTGGCCCGGAGCCTCGTGAACAGCACTAATATTACCACCAGTAAACCGTCTCCCTGCATTGACAGCAGACCCTCGACAGGGCCCTCTCAGAACCCTACAGTCAAGCCCAAATTGTGGTCACTGGCGGAGATTGCTACCTCGGACCAAAAGCAGCAACATCAGCAACCGGGGCAGCCTGCAGCAGGGCAACCAAACTGCCCCTCCTCCAGCGGTGGCCTCCTTACTCCCCCCACGCCTTCCACCACCTCTCCGGCTGCCAGTTCTCCCTCCCTCTACCCGGCCCCCTCCATCCTTGGAAGACCTATTTATTACACTTCTCCCTTTTATAGCAATTACACAAACTATGGCAACTTCAGCCCCCTGCAGGGCCAAGGGATCCTGCGCTACACTAATTCATCCGGAGTGAGTCTGGCTGCAGCCGCTGCTGCCGCCGCCGCCGCTGCTGCTGCAAACGAGGGTCTGAGCTCCTCTCAGCAGGCCGTGGAGGCGAACACAAACCCCAAACACAGGCCTGACTCGCCCCTCGTTAAAAATAACCCGAACCAGATTGTTGTTGTCGAGCAGCAGCAGCAACAACAGCATTTCAGACCCGCAAATTTAGAAGCAAAGAAAGGTACGTAATAACATTACGCGCTGAACAGAATGATTTGAAGAACTTGTTCAGGATCTTGAGGTGGTCATTTTCGTAAGGAAATCGAAATAAGTCCACTTGTTTCCAATGCAAATCAACTGGTTTCAAGGTGTCATTTCCATGTTTTATTCTGCAGTCATGCCATGAGATGATCCGGCTGTTTTGCCTCCTTTTCAAGAATGATTAGATGTGACTGAACACAGTTTTGCGTCAGAAACAAGTGGCATTATCTGAACATAATTGCAGGTTTCAACACGATTTAGGTTTTATACGATATAAGGACTAAATAACTCATTAAGGACTTTTAAAGCGCGAATGAACTAAGCGGATGGACACATAAAAATGGCATAAATATCGTGTTTTTTCAACCCTTCCATTACTGTTGCATCCTTTGTTTATCAGTTTGCATACTAAAGTAGAGACGCAGATGAGAAGCTTTTGCAACAAACTCGCTGTAGGAATCAGTGAATGAAATCAAACTCAAAGCAGTCTTTAAGAGCTCACTTACAGATAGAGGTGTTGAAATAATCCAATAAAGAAGCCCCATGTCGGCCCTAACCACGTGCACCTGCGCGCGCACACAAACACGTGCACACGAACGTACAGCGGCAGCCCGAGCAGAGAAATGTTGCCATACCTTTGAGCAGGAATTCTATTTTTAATATTTCCTCTGAAGTGCGCGTGTGTGTTCGTGTGTGTATGTGTGCGTGTCCTTGTGCACAGTGGGCCCCGAATCTTACCTTTCAGGTTTAGGATAATTAAAATCACACAGGGTCAGCCAAAAGCAAACACATCAGTTAGTTTGAAGCGTACATTCATCGCGCAACTTTACATCTACAAATGTCACTGAGGTTGGTTGTGCACATTCAAAGCTGTGCGCAGGGGAGTGCGGAGACGCTTTCTCTCCCTCCCTTCTTCTTCTTCTTCTTTTTTTTCTAAACCGGTAATTAGGCTGCGGGGATTTTAATAAGCACTTGCAGTTCAGGGCTGCTTTTTTTTTGCAGAGCCAGCCTGCAGTAGACTTTGTGTTTTCTAGGTTAGTGGAGGGAGTTGATCATTTGATCGTGTGGGATTTTTATTTCCACGCTCTGCAGGTAGGTGTCACAATTGCTTTGAGTATAAAGCGAGTAAGGCCACCACCTCTTAGCCCCCCATGTTTTAACCCCCATAACCTTTGCTCCGAACCGGATCTAGTGCCACCATTCAGACAGGAATAAAAAGCTGCTACCGCTTCCTCAGCTGCACACAGACTGAGACACATGGGATTATTCTTATAATTGTATCATTTCAGTTCATTTTATTTTGTTTTTGTTGATGCATTATGGATATTCATTTTATATGCTGGTTTGAAACAGATCTCCCATTGTATGTGATTTACATGTTGTTTCTCAGGTTCCTATAGTTTGCTTATTTGCCACGGTATATTGTTTAAGTATTTACGTGTGGAAAAAAAAACAACAAAACAAACAAACAAAAAAACATAATTTGGCCTTTCTGTGAAACCGTATTTGTATAAGGATGTGTCTTTGGGACGCACAGCGGACGGGGCTGACGTGAACTTGAGGACTTCAAAGTGGAATAGCCTACATTTGATATTTATTTTTCTAAATGATGGCGACATGATGCCTATAATTTATGCAAGTTGTATTGCAAAAATGGGAAACTGACATCGTCTGTTTGTTTTGTAAATATATATATTATGGACGGTTTTTATTTGAGACACATTTGGGGAAAATCGTTACACAATCTTGTTATCAGGAGAACTTTTACTAATTTATATCTTTGAATGTAAATAAAATAAAAGGCGCTGGTATCGATGTACTGGCGGGTTATGATATTCATTATTCAAAGGAGAAAATATTAAACTGTTTTCCCAACTATCACATCAATCTTTGAGAGTCATTCTTTTATTTATTACAGACCTTTACTCAACACTTAGGCGCTTTGATTTGGATTCACCCAGCTCTCATTGCGCTTTTACTTTGACACATTTACCCACACACACACACACGCACACACACACTCACACACACACACAGATGGGAAATGTTTGATGAATCTCGCTTTTCATAAACATTATGAGTTTTCACAGATTGCACAATCCATTCTGTCTAAATGGACCATCATTTTTTTTAGGGTCTCATTCTGGTCAGGGGGAATCTCTCTCGGTCACATATTCACGACCTTGATTGGGATAAACGACATACTTATTTCATTTTCTCCCCCCTTTTCTCTCCCCTCACTCCTCGCTGCAGCCTGCAGCACATTTATTTTTCAGTGTGATTAATACAACCGTGGGACGCATCGGGCATTATGGGTTCCCAGTGGGGCCCGTCCCTGGAGCTTTTTTAGCCTGGTTCAGCATGGGTCAGCCCTTCCTGCTTCATTACGGCACGGCATTGAGCAATCCATAAAAGTCTATCTAAGCATCTGCCAGCTCCAATGGGCTGTGTGATGGGCCCTAATCGGACAGGCTTTCCTTTGCTTTTCATCATGGCGCGGTTACTGCTGCGGCTCCACGACACAGCTAATTAAACCGTTTTGGGAAATAAGAGGGTCGAATTAGGAAAATGAGAGTTTGTGAAAATAACTGATGATTGAAAAATAAAAATACGGTATTTTGAACAATTACATGAAAGTAAAACAACAATAATTACATTATTATTATTATTATTATTATTATTATTATCAATAATAGTAATAATAATCGTAATAAGCATAACCATCATCATCATATTGCTGTAAATAATTATTTTATTATTGGTCAAAACAAATTAAATTAATGTCACTGTTTATAATAATAATAATAATAATAATAATAGTAATAATAATAATAATAATAATAATAATATGAGTAAACTAGTATTTCTTTTATTACAATCCTTACAACACTGCATTTCCACGTGTCTTTTCTACTGCTGGAAATCGACTGTCACACTAAACTTGTGGCCTTGAAAATGTGCAATCCTCAAAGATCAAATATCTAATATTCCTGTCCTCCACGAGGAGGCCTCCATCATCGCTCCTAGCCAGGCTAAAAGCTAATCCTTCATTTTCCAGTTGAATTTGAGCTTGAGTGTTGTCCAAATCTCTTGGGACTCCCTTTCACCTTGGTTTTTCTCCTCCTCCTTCTCCTCCTCCTGCCTTGAATCATCCAAGGAAGTAATATTTGGCTGCCACAGGGATGCAGTGGAGGGTAAACCTGCCTAAACTCAGTTAACCCACCTTTTCTAGGCTGAGAGGAGTCTGTCGAACAAATGAATGGTATGTTTTGCAGTCAATAGTGTCACACTGTCAGAAATGGTGATGATTGAGGTCTTTGAAGCATATGCTTGAGAAATGATATGGATTAAGGTCTGAATCAGGCGTTGTTCCTCTTTTAAAAGTTGTTTCCTGATGCTTATATTTTACCTTATATCTTTCTTTCTCTAACAGTCATTCACACTCACGCCTCTGGCCAGTTTCTTCCTCTCCATGCTTTCATAAGGAGATGATTTATTGAAATGCATGCTTTATTCTCAGGTGGGCTCCCCTGAGGACTCTGCACTGTTGTCAAATAGCTCCAGAGGCCCTTTCCAAAGCATACCTCTCTCTCCTCCTCCTCCTCCTCCTCTCTCTCCTTCCCTTTCTCTCACCTACTGCTGCACCCTCCAAATGTCAACATTTGTTCTCAATAAAAAGAGTTATTGTTTCTGTTAAAGGGGGAAAAAAATGCTCTGTAACCGGTCGCCTTTGAACACATGAAAAGAAACTTCCACCCTCCGTCTTTGTTTGATTGAGAGCAATGGCAGGTGAAAATAGGAGCAAGGCGTCCACCGCACATGACAAAGCTCAAGCTGTGCAGCCTGTTATGAAACGATTGTGAATTTATGCCACAATTAGTTGCAATTGAGCAGAGGCATTTCCAGCCCTTTTGAAGAGCCTGCTCTTTGCCTCGTGTTCGTGAAACTATGAGCAGGAGCACCAAGAAGAAAAAAAAAAAGGTGCCCTTCACTGCCTGGATATTGATCCTCAAGGGTGAAACAGGCAATTTACTGTACAGCAAGTGTACTGTGGAGTAAGTAGCCTAGCTGAGCCTGTGCTTTAAAGCAAGGGGAATAATTTAAATTTATCTTGATATTCTTTAATTCCATGCATTGCATATCAAATACAGCCATAATCCTATCATATAGCTTACCAAAGAGGCTGCGTTCATCCATGCTAAGGACTGGTTGTCATTGGAAGCTAAATTGATGCTATCGCAGGGCTCATAGGCTCCACACAAGCACACGCTGGAGAGCAAGTGGACTCATTCGCCTTATCGTTGATCAAATAAGCAGCTCGCATATGCAGATAATTCATGAGCTCTTTGTATCCTTTATCCTCCCATCAACCCTTTCTCCTACAAAATGCTTCAGACATTAATCTCTGACGCACACCTGCAACAGGAAGTTAATGCTGCTGAAGTTTACTGCAGCAGCAGAGAGGTTTAATATGTTTTACAAACAGTTATTGGGGTAGTGAAAGGGTAGGATGTGAAGAAGGGCTTGATTAAACCAATGATAGTAATGAGAAGTTCTTATTTTTCAGAGCTTATCTGTTGAAAATGAGGAAAAAGTAACATTTCTAAAGGTTAATTTTGTTATTAGGAAGGATTCAGATAGCTTTTTAGATATCCTTTAGCGGCTTCAACTTAGGTTCATTTCTTATTCTCTTGCACTCTCGTATCCTCACTGTAACTCTGTCCATTTAGACCTAAATACAAGTGATGATCAGACGTAGTCGTAAGTAGCACCAATATTCAGAGGCGACTGAGAGACGAAAGAGAGCGGCGTACAAATCAGGTACAGGTGTGTTTAATAACGCACATCAAAGTGGACAGAGGACTTTAAAAATGACTCTGGGGTCCTGTCCTCTCGTAAAGGTGTCAGGTGAAATGTTCACCACTCTGACTGATCAAGGGGAGAGCGCTGTGCAGGATTTTGACACACTCCTGCACACACACACTCAGAGTTACATACTGGTTCTTGCATGCGTCTTCCACACATGCACACTCAGGCTTTTAGACTCTGAGACGCTAATGCTTGTCCACGCAGAGGTCTAAACAAGGCCATTAAGAGCCCCGACTTCCACTCCTAATTGACAGTTATGTTTAATGCCTGTGGTGAGTAAACACTTCAGAGTAGAAGACTGCACCTTTGGGCTGTAAATCAGACAAAAAACTGGAAACTCATGTTGGAGGCGGCTGTGAAAAACTCCTGTAGAGGTAAACGTGAAAGGTGAGCTTCCAAAAACCCTCTGCGTGTACATGTGTGTAGGTGTGTGTGAGTGTGTGTCCACAGTGTTCTGTGTAATATCCACAAGAATGCAAACACGTAAAACATCTCGGGTCTACAGTAGGTGCAGCTGTTGTTTGTACATATAATTAGGAACTACTTCTTGTCCTTTGTTGCACTATGACTGTTGGCACAGCACTTATGCAACTGTACAACAAACATAAAGCATGTTATTACACACAATCAATCTGTCAGTACAAAAGTTGGTATCCTCTATGATTAACATGAATTAATAGGCCAACATAACCCCATCACATGCTAGCAAACCATAAGTTCCTGGTTGGTGTTTCAATATAACCCAAAAGGCCACACAAATGTTGTCATGTAATTTGACTACGAGTCACAAAACTAGAACCCAACGCAATAAGATTATAAATGAAGAAGCAAATTTCAGAATTAGAAAATATTTCAGTGTTATTGAATGTGTTGTGATGTGTAGTGAGTGGGTGATTGTGTGAACTGGAATATGCATAATAATCCACCCACAACAGCACCCCTCATATTTCTCCTCTCCAAATCAAGACCCACACAAGTCCACAGAAACTATTGATTTCAAGATGATCTTAAAGCTCCAGTGAGGAGTTTTTCTATCATAATAAAAGTTCACTTACAGTCAAATTTATGACTTTTAATGATAAATAAAACAAGTCTAAGACAATTTTGGAAAGGTTTGCAGTTTTTAAACTTATGTTTCCATTGTCTGAAACTGGTGTGAGGGGGGTAGGTGTCAACTACTCAGCTGCAAACACAGCCTTGTTTTTACACTTTACACATCCAGTATGTTTGACTGTCAAAAGTCAGTTTGACAATTTTTGTCAAAATGCACTACTTAAAGCATGACGAGTAAAAGAAAAGTAAATACTCTATTTTTCAAATGGGGGCCAAAACAGTCACAAACTTAAAGTTACTTACACAAGCTTTAACCACTGAAAATTATTTATCTAATATAACTTAAAGGGGTTCACATTATGCTTTTTTGATATCTTGAAAAAAAATGTTGAAGAAGAAGAAAGAAGATGAGAAAAGTTTCTGATTGCATGGGTAATGTATGTTAAAGTAATCCCTAAATAGGACTACAAGGTGCTCTGAACAGCTTGTGTAAAGTGACGTGAGAATTCAACGTGAGATTTGCTCAAAACGTGACATCACCTAAGTGAATCTCCTTAAAAGGCAAATGGATCGTTTTATAAAAAGAAAAACAACTTTGTTGTATGGCAACAGTGAAGGAGGCTTCCAGAATGCTCCAAATTTGTTGAACCATAAACCATGTAAAGCTGCTAAGAAGCTATCAGAGGGACCATATAAAGGTGAAAAAAAAGGTTAATACCCCCTCTTTAAAGAATAGTGCTTCCACTTCCTGTCATGATGCTTCCATGGCAACAGATTTTAAATCAGCCTCCATGTGGGATGAATTAGCATTCACCTGAACATTTCAAGACATGGTCAAGTTAAAGGCAGTTTGAGAAGTTTTTAACAGGTGGAGAAACAGACCCATACCGATTCCGATGGTCTCAATTGATCCTTCAGGAGCAAATGAGACCATAATCAACAAAACTGATTATTTCTCTGTTGTA